TAAGGACAGTGAAATGAAACCTTTCCTTTTTTGGTTTCCTGTTGCAATTCAGATTTACCTGTTTCAATGGCTGCTTGTGAAATTTTCATTGAAAGGCATTGGAATTGTGAATTTCAGAAAATAGAATATTACATAAAAATGCAAAATATAAACTGAATAAATCTTTGCTTTTAAAAACTACTCAAACAAGACTAGATCTGAAGCTTAGAAAATTTAGTGTATAGATCTAAAGTAGATGCAATCTACAGTCAACCCTTCCACATTGTGAGAGTTAGGGCTGTAGAGGAGCGTGCACTGATTACAGTGCAGTGCCGCAGCCAGAGTGTGAATTACCTCTCCATAATTGGGGGGTACTGCCCTCAAAACACTGCTATGACCATTATGGTCCACTACCGCGTCAATACGAATAGCCACCAGAATCAATGTTAAGGGGTGTTTACTAACATGTATGCAACACACGGTCATGGTCTGGACATGCGACACAATGAGAATCAATACAGAAGATCTCATTATCCTTATCCCTATCCAAAAGAACTTGGCTTTGATAACTGCCAGGAATTATCCTAGATGAAGTATACTAGTAAAAGTAATAAGCCTATACATTTACAAACAGCCTGGTCTGGTCCAGCAGTCTGGTGTTATTTCTGCCCTCTCAGTCCCCCCAGCTCCAACAGGCTTCAGAAATACATATTTACCTGTTAGGCTAATATCTGTCTTGATGATACAGTAGATCTTCAAGTACAGCCTAATTTCTAACTCACCTCTTGGTCCTGCACTCTGTCCTCATCCTGTCATCTTCCTGCTGCCTGCTCACTGTCCTCATCCTGCCATCTTCCTGCTGCCTGCTCACTGTCCTCATCCTGCCATCTTCCTGCTGCCTGCACACTGTCCTCATCCTGCCATCTTCCTGCTGCCTGCACACTGTCCTGATCCTGCCATCTTCCTGCTGCCTGCACACTGTCCTGATCCTGCCATCTTCCTGCTGCCTGCACCGTCCTGATCCTGCCATCTCCCTGCTGCCTGCACACTGTCCTCATCCTACCATCTTCCTGCTGCCTGCACACTGTCCTCATCCTGCCATCTCCCTGCTGCCTGCACACTGTCCTCATCCTGCCATCTCCCTGCTGCCTGCTCACTATCCCCTGGATGGATGCGCCCTTAGCATTTGCCTATATTGCCTATGCCACGGGCCGGCCCTGCAAACATGTTAAGAAACCTAGTAATGTAATTATTTTTTGTCACGCTAAATGTGGAGACTGTCCACAGGGGAGAATGTAGCGGGACTAAAACAACGGCCTATTTCAAATATTTCTGCTTGGCTCCCACAGTACGTATCATCGAGTTGTTGTGTCTCATAACATTCCTCAGTGACTCTCTGAAAATAAAGAATTTGGAAGGTGGTCGGTTTAAAAACCTCAGACTGGATGTAGTTAAAGTGCAGTTAAATTTAGACCTTTAATACTGAACAGAAATATAACCGGTCAAATCCAGGTTATATAATTACAGAAATACACAATCAGCTGTAAATTCTGCAGTGGGGGCTCCAGATTATTTTTTAGGAAGGGGCAACATAATACTAATTAATACTAATCGCACAACATAAAAACACAATAATTACAATAATTATGGGGATGACTTAAGTAGGCCTACTATTAAAATCACAGTTGCATGACATACTGGCTTTTGGGAAACCTGTTCCATGTTCTATGATTGACATCACTCAGAGCCAATGAAAATAGGGGGAAACCGTTTTGAAATGGGAATGTTTGTAATTTAAATGGGGTAGCTATGTTTATGAATAAAAGTTCAATGAACCTTAGCAAAAAAAAACCTGCTAAATTGTGGCATGAAATGCAATTCACAAGAATAGACAAGCATCAAAACCCTCATAAACGGAGGGAAAGCGTGGGTTACTTGGGGAATACCTGTTTGGTGGCTCTAGAGCCACATTTGAGTTGAACATAGCAGATAATTGCTAAAACAGCATTTTCTGAGCCACGATGAAGTTGTATCAGGGCAGATCCGCGCTCGATGCTCATAGCGCTGCCAAAAATATCATCTCAGGCCTGGTGGCCGCCAGTTCTCACAGGTCTGGAAGCTTCCCTGGAGGCCAAAAACATCTCCAGAGCTTCGGAAGTGCAGTTCAAACAACTGGTTACTGGCGGGTGGAGTAAGTTGCTTAAATATTTGTGCACAGCCCATGTTTTCCAAAAAGCCAGCAGACTGTTGAACAGATGGACCCGTGCACCAGGGTACTGAGTTAGGCAAACTCTACTGAAGGGTTAATGCAGGCTGCAAACACTGTTATGGAGTTTTTATTGCTTATATAGAAAATGGTAATACACATTCATCTCTGTCTTATATATAAACTATAGGCCTAAATAGAAATAGGAAGTATTAGAAATAGGTTAACCTGCTTTACTGGCAAAACATGTGCTTTACTGTAGAATATCTTGCTTTTTGTATGAACTTTCATACATTTATTTGGAAATATTTTAAGTTTACATTTTTGCAGCTCTAACACAATAAACACAGCATACACTAACAGTTTTCTTTCAGGATTCTGGATTTATGACTTTGAAAACCATAAATTTACAAGAATTCCTGCATGACACAATATTGATGGCGAATTCAATTCTTTGCTCTACCAGACCCTGCACATGGTCCCCATCTGTTAGAATACTGAAGGGAATATTTGCACAAACGAACCGGCCTCCTTTGACAAGGGCTATTTTTAAACTTGAAATGTGTTCCTTTATAAGCTGCTGTCCACTGTTGTAATCCTAATCTCTTGGTGTGTTGTGGATTCAAACATTGTGCTTATTTACAGTGTCATTTTTTTAAATACATCTGTATAATTTTCTCTCATCTCATTGTAGCCTATAAAATAATGCTTAACCAGTTTATTTGCCAACACTTTCAAAACTTGTAAATAAGTAAGTAAATAAATAGAATTGTTTTTGATCGTCACAGATAAGAGTAACAATTATTTATGAAGATTTTGTTGGGAAAGACGCTAAATTAAAATTAATAGAAAGAGCGCAAAGAAAATATTTGGATGGTGACTGGGAGGAAGTGGTAATATGAATTTGTGTTTTGTGGCATTTATATACATTTCTGATCGCGCTCCACTTGATAGTTGTACATTACTTCAGTCTGCCGGTGACATCAGAACCGGGACTTATAAATGAGCCTGTTCCCGAATAGACCTCAGACGAAGGAGCGAAGCGCCGCCACGGACGAAGGCTGTTATCCATCCGGCGGGTTAAGAAACCCTGGAAATGACGCGCTTCACTTGCTTCCTGCTCATTTGCACAATTGCACAGGTGAATTCCCGTTATTTTCCTCCCTCCAGCATGTGGTGAAGTTACTAGCAGTGCGACTGTTTTCCCACTAACTAAATGTTTTCTTATTTCCATGTTTGGATTTAAACCAAGCGACTGCGTATAACACGATTTAAAAACTATTTTAGGACCTGAATGCAATGTAAATGCCCGAATGACAACAAATGATCATTGCTTTGGTTATTTCTTAGTGCTTAGGAAATAAAAAATTGGCATTTTTAAAAATAAAACTCGCGGGACTCGTTTATTAAAAAAAGTAATCTGTTTAAGTAGACTGAACACATATTCAATTAAGTATAAAAAACACAAAATAATAATAATCTATTTTTTTTTTCTAAAAGAAAAGATCATTGCCCTGGATTTAGCATAAAACACTGAATTTCAACCTGTTGTGTGCTCCACAAAAAGTATTTCAAGTAATAGATGGATAAAATATAGTTATATGACTCCACCACAAATGACCGTGTTACTTTAAGTACCATAAAATAATATTGAGTGCGTATTTAAGTGTTTTAAGTGTGTCTCTTTTTGCCAGGCTTGCTCCCAGCTTTGTGGGGGCCCTTGTCATTGTCCCAAACCGCCTCCACGTTGTCCCCCTGGGGTGCCTCTGGTCCTGGATGGATGCCACTGCTGCCAGATGTGTGCCAGGCAGCTGGGCGAGACCTGCGACAAGAAGCATGCCTGCGACAGTCAGCAGGGGCTGGCGTGCGACTACAGCGCCAGCTACCCGGGGGGAACGGGAGAGTGCGTTGGTGCGTAGGCTCGCCTTTTAAAGCTGGTAGTGGGGCGATTTATCACTTGAATAATAATGGCCACTGGATGAAATCCCAGAAGGACATTGGCTGTTATACTTTTGGCAAATCTGAACGTCAAATAACAGCCAGGAGCAAACTTGCGGTGATGTCAAGGAAATCCTACAGATGGAATAGTAATGTGAAGGTTATGTTTAAATACTGCAGTGATAGCTCATAGGTTTTATTAAGTAGAGCAGGGAAATTTAATGATTTTGGAACATGCTGACACTTTTATTTTAATAGCTAATGGTTTTTGACACAAGGAGGTGAAAAATGCCGGTGTTGTGTTGTCGCATTGCGTTCCTCATGCTGTGCCACATGAAAATGTGTAGCTCTCTGCTTCTTCATTGCATTTTTCACTAACCCTTGCTCAGAGTAGGAACGTGAGGTACTGACAAGTCAGGTGGGAAATAACTAAAAGCCAAGGCTCATCTCCACCCATTGTGTCTCCAGAATGACAATGCTTTTACTTCAGCTGAGTGTTTCTCCACTCGGTCCTGGAGGACCCCCAGATAGCACAGCTCCCAGCCAATCAAGACCACCGAATACCTGGTACAGGTGTGCTGGGAGCTGGGATGGAGTGTGAACTGTCTTGGGGTTCTGGAGGATTGGGTTAAGAATCACTGCTCTTGGTTGACCAGGTCAAGAGGAGCTCGGCTGTGAGTTCAATGGTGTGAGCTACCAGGAGGGGCAGCGCTTCCAGCCATCCTGCGCTGTGCAGTGCCACTGTCTGGGAGGAGGGGTGACGTGCCTGCGCCTGTGCAGTGAGGAGCTGCGGCCACCAGGCCCTGACTGTCCCCACCCCCAGCTCATCCAGCTGCCAGGACGCTGTTGCAAGGAGTGGCTGTGTGAGAGCATGGAGAACACAGTCTTCCAGGATGCTCTGGCAGGTACATGTTCCACGAGCTGCCATTCACAAATTCATCACTGTCACCTTCAACGACTATTCGGTTGCTTAGGTGACACGTGTTTATAATGCAGCACGTTTTATACAAAAAATACCGGATCAGCACTTTTCCTGAATGACTTAAGTCAACCTGGCAGCTGTGGAGTTCTGAGAAACATCTGGGTTTCTACACAATGGCTAGCAAGTAAAGTACACAGGAAGGGATCATTATTTTTTAGGACTCTTTCATTTCAGCCAAAGATGTCTGTTATACTACAATGGCTGGAGAACATATGATTGGTTTGGTTAACTGTTTGGCATCCTGAATTCATTCATATGCCAGACGAGGAATTCCATCAGGTTCTTACGCATTCAGTTCGCCCCGCTCGGCAGAAAACGACTGCAGTATTGCTCCTAACCATAAAATGATGGTGGGAACAATATGATGTTGTGAGAGAACACTCTGGAAAAATAAATCAATCTCTCTTTGGCAGTCTAGGAGGACCAGACCATTTTGAAAAATGCCGCAGGAGCATTCTGGGAAACTGGGAAGCATTACGCAATGCCAGTGTTTTCAGAACATCCCTTGCTAGCTGACTTGGTGTGCAATACTAATGGGAGGGGCTTTGATTTTGGGGATATTTGTCTTACTGGAATAGCCCAGTTCTTTAGGTACACTCTGATTGGTAGATGGCGAGGTCATGTCTGGAGCTCTCTCAGGCAAGGTGACCAAGTGACATGTTAACAGGCATGCAGTAAATGTACAGGAAAACATGTGCACCAGTTTCCCAAAACAGTATCATAGCAACCTTTTGTGTTCGTAATTTGACAATTACTGTGTTGTTTCAACTATGGGGATTCTATCTATTCAGTTATTGTGTTTTCTGAGCAGTCCTGCTTCTTACTATTCTAATTGTTGTAGCTTAAGTTATTTTTTAATTAAAAATGATTCCCTTTTCAATAACAGTCATTAGAATAATATATGTTTCTACTCATAGTTGTATACCGTGGCAGTGTAGTGACTTATTAAAGGTTGGGGGGGGTTTCACCCTTGCTAAGATTCTGCACTCAGAAGCCCAGAAACCCTCCCCCAAACACACACACGCACACACACACACACACACACACACACACACACATCAAATAGGTTCTGATGTATAGCCTGTTTTGGCACTGTGTTCTAGCCTACAGCCCTGACATAGCTCAGCTGGACCTCTCTACCTTGAACAAGAACATGGGCTCTAACTGCGTCGAGCAAAGTACCGAGTGGAGCGCCTGTTCCAGAACTTGTGGCCCCGGCGTTTCAACACGGGTGTCCAACATGAACCGGGCCTGCCACTTGGAGACGCAGTCCAGATTCTGCATGGTCCGGCCCTGTCAGAACCCCCCATACAGGACAACAGCAGTGAGTAACCACCATCAACTTTCACTCAAAATTTATCTAATTTGGGCCCTGTAGGGTTAAGTAGTTTTACTGAGCTAATTATTAATTAATTTAATGTAGTTGATTAGGTGACAAAGATCTGCTTTGACCATTAAATCTTGTGGAATATGTATTTTCGTTATCATACAGCTTTGGTTTGAGTTTTTATACTTGATAAAAAGTGCCACCATGTGGTCATTTATAAGAATTAAAAATACTTTTTAACAATTTGTGTACGATGTGTACTAAAAGTCCGGCTGTTTTATCAAGGGCATTTTGATAAACATAGTTTGGAGATAATTTTATAAGATAAAGGATGCTTTTGTTCTCAGGGGACGTGGTGGTGCAAACCCAGTTATGTAGCTCCTCTGCCAGCGCGCCTGGAGCAGCAGGGCTGCCTCAGTGTGGGGGCATTCCGGCTGACCTACTGCAGCCTGTGCCCCGACGGCCGCTGCTGTACCCCCCACCGCACTCGCACTGTCCCTGCGGCCTTTCGCTGCCCCGCGGGCCGCCTGCTCCACCTCCCTGTCATGATGATAGAGTCCTGCGTCTGCCACTACCAGTGTCCCCACTCCCAGAGGGCCCACGCTACAGCACCAGAACACCTCACTCCCTGAAGAAACCCCAAGACGCCCGGGGGCCAGGGCTCGGCAGAACTCGGCTTACGGGGCATGCAGCCCCCCCAAACTGAGACACTTCCACCAGAGATTTGCAACACTGATAATCCGGAGACTATAGAACCCACATATTTAGCACTCAGTGCTGGGATGATCTGACCTGTGAAGACACAGCACCCGCATACAGAGACACACCCAGTGCCAAGGTCTGGCCACCCAGTGCTGGGATGATCTGTCTCCTGAGGATACAAAACCACATAGAGACACACCCAGTGCCAAGGTCTGGCCACCCAGTGCTGGGATGATCTGACCTGTGAAGACACAGCACCCGCATACAGAGACACACCCAGTGCCAAGGTCTGGCCACCCAGTGCTGGNCTGGCCACCCAGTGCTGGGATGATCTGACCTGTGAAGACACAGCACCCGCATACAGAGACACACCCAGTGCCAAGGTCTGGCCACCCAGTGCTGGTATGAGCCCTTTCAGTGCCTCACACCTGGGAATAGGGTCACATCACATCTGGGTATAGAGAGGGTCACATCACATCTGGGTATAGAGACGGTCACATCACGTCTGGGAATAGGGTCACATCTTTTATATATGCAGAATTAATCTCATCTCTTGCTTTCCTGTAAAAAACCAACAGTGAGATGAGATTATTGGATAAGTTATTTGATGATTTAATGGATCGCCTATTGGTTGACGAGTCTCTTAAGACAGATTCCTGCACATCTGCTAAAATTCAGTATTTGTTATTCAGTATTTGTTACACATTTTTACCTTTTTTTTCAAATCCTCATGTACATATAATTTACTGTATTGCTATATCTTTTATGCCACCCATTATTATTACTGTAAATAATTCTACATTAAAATATCTATGAACATTTTAGGATCACCATAATTGTATGAGCAGGTACATGCGACAAGTTCATGTTTTCCAGATTAAACTTTTGAAATGGCTTGATTTAGAAAACACCTGGTTTTAGCTGAATACTGAAAAAAAGGATCATTGGTCACATTTTCACATTGTGATCATGAAGGTTGTTTTCATTCATCATTATGTCAACAGACCTTGTAGGGTTAAGCATTCTTAGTAATGCAAATAAGTCCCAAAATCTAACATTAAATCTAATATTCTTCAGTGTTTAGTATATCACATTGAAATTTTAACAACATTATCAATAAAACAGAATCAGTAAAAAGCAGTATGTTGGTAAAAACATTGCCTTTGGGACCAAATACACGGCCAGTGGTTTGAGCTGCAGAGCTAAAATGAAAGAAACCCAGAAATGAACATCTATTTTAATGAAAAGGTGCCACTCCTTTTTAAATGCCTGTAATAGCCGAAGGGAAAACGCGAGTCAGGTACCATTATGTACTTTGGTTAAATGAGCTCCCTGCAACATTACGCCATACAATTACGCAGCTACACAGCTGACTCTAGCGAACAAAAGCAAGTTTGTTAAAACGGCACAATAATAGATGAGCCGGCTGCACAAATACACCAAATACCATTTTTTTCACCCCAAATGCAGTAGAGCCCCTTAACCCACAAATAGATCAACCACCTTACAACTATGTTTCAACAGCTGTAATTCCATGAACTTTCCTCATCAGCTAATCCAGCATCTCCCCCCTTTCCTCGACTCCTCTCAGGTAATCCCTCACAACCTCTCCCTCCTGCACCATTTTTGTCAGTCCTTATGAATAAAAACCTTTTTGTCATCCTCCCTTTCAGAGCTGCTTGTGATCAGGGGGAAAACATCAATCAACTGGTAGTTTCCAACCAAAAGACAGATAATAAAATCTAATGCCAAAGACTGTGAAACAACCAAGTGTTACTAGTGTATGAACCACCACTGAGTTCACTGATCTGTAAGTTTTAATTTGTTCAGGCTTGAAATAGATTTTTTTTAGTTTGATGCTTCTTAAACTCTGCTGGCATCTATGGACTTTTCTGTGCAGTGAAATTTTAATAATCTTCTAATACAAAAGATGCCTTACCAGTTTGTGAAATTCTAAGACGTCTAAGATATGGTTTGACTGTTTCTTATCGGTTAATAAATTTACAAACAAATTAAACAACCTTATAATTGTGTATTTGCAGTTATTGCAATCATAAATTGTAACTGAATAGATGAAAGTGGTTACTGTACTTTTCTTTATTAGCATTGTTTATAATTTTTTTGTCCGTATTGTACTAATAAACAATTAGTACAAACTAATAGAATGTGATGATCTTATAGAATCATCACATTCTATCACACATATTCTGCAGTGTAACAGGGTCATAATGGTGAAGTTTCAAATCGATCAACAATAAACAAATAAATGCATAAATAGAAACAAAAAAACATTAAACAAATGTAAAGACATAAGCAGTACAAATAATGTGTGACAGACCCAAGAATCTGAGACTTCAAGTAAATTGATTTAGAAAATGGAAAGATTGCTATTTCTCATTATCACCATTCCAATTCAGACTTGAAAATCAAATCCAAAGCCATGTATTCTGACCATTATAGAGCAATCTGCTGCATTAGCTACAATATTTCTAGAAATCTTATTTTTTTAATAAAAAAAATTGGAAAAAAACATTTTTTCTTTTGTCACAAAGTGCAATGCTTTATTTATGATTACTTATTGTGGGAAGCGAAACAAATGTTACACAAGCAACTAGAAGAGGGACCAACCAATTAGATGTCTCGGTCCTGCCTCCTCTTCAATCTGATTGGTTATTTCTCAGAATCAATACTTTTTCATTCTGCCCTCAGAACATTTTTGCGTAAGTAAAATTCCCACAAGCAAGGGGCACACCTTTTCTCATGTCCCGCCTTCTCCTCCCTCATTCTCCAGGGGATTCTGTTTTATTCCAATTCACAAGTGTTGCCAGGAGAATCAGTGCTACACCACAATCCACACTGAACCAAATTCTCACAAAACACAATTTAATGTAACCACACCTAACAGATTCATTAAACATACAAGGAATAATTCCAGAGCATATAGATGCACCTCCAGTTTATGGGTTTCTGCAGGTGCCAGTGGAAAATCAGTAGGTATCTGATTCCAGGAGGAGGTGCGTGTTTGTGTTGGACAGTACAAATCAGAAATCCCCACAGCATACCTCAGATGATGCAATAACCTGCTATGTGGAATATGCAAATATGAAAAATTCATTCCAGATGTGATCTGCAGAAATTTTATCATCACAAAAATGGGATGTGACTATGCAGGTGAAGAATTACTGGGAAATTTGTGGACACTACCCTGTGCAATTTTCAAATCTTGTTTTATATAGCATGCAAGTAAGGGGTACAACCATCTGCTACATAGATCATTTACAGGAGAGCATCGGGCTGGTGCAGTACCTGGGTAGATAACGCTGTCACCTCACATCCCAAACATTCAGGTTTTAGCCCCCCAGCTCTAAGTGTGTGGGGTTTTTCCTGACACTTGCAAGTCGCCCAGAACTGCCTTAATTATGAGACTAGGGTAAATACGTGTGTGTGTGTGTGTGTGTGTGTGTGTGTGTGTGGCTGTGTGAGCATGGCGTAATGTGCTGACCTGAATTGCGCTCCATGTTTCTCAGGATAGGCACCACATTAACGAATTAACTTCACTGGGGGCCCTTGGCTGACCTGGCAAGGGGGGCCCATCGAATGAGGCAGAATAGTCTAGAATACCCTATAAATTAGTAGCCCCGAGCATGTTGCCACGGCAACTGGGATTGGATAAACAGTTACTAAAAAATTAATAAAAATCATGGAAGGGCAAATATCAGGGAGAGAACTTATCCTTTGTGAGTCACAAAAGATGAAACTAATACCATGAGCTTAAGTACAGTAAGTTTATACATTAATTTAATGGGGGGGGGGAGTCAGGTGACAGTGGTTATCCAGGTTAATTCAGTAAACTTGTCTTCTGTTACCATCCATACAACCGAACCTTCTGTTTGTTTCTGCCTTTGGTAACCCAGGCAACGGCTTTGATGCCAGCTCCGATTTCTGTCATTTCTCTGTTTCCTTTATCTTTCTTTATCCTCCTGTTGAACTGGCTACTTAATTTTTGCCAGCTTTTGTGTCATGCTGATCCCATCCGCTTCAGCCGTACAAAAGAAAGCCCATCCACGACCGAATCCCCGTGCCAAGTGGTTCCGTAACTGGTCCAGATCAAGGAAAGTCTCGTGATGAAATGCGTACAAAATTTTCTTAAAGAGACAGTGACTACTGACAAAAAAAATATCACATTACAAAAAAGGCTAGGAGTGACATCTTACTGCTGTGACCAGGAAAAACCACAGAAATAGGTTAGTGCATCTATAGGAATGGGCGATATCACTGAATTTCTTCTTGAACTGATTCAATGCCTGTGGTATATTGTGATACTTACTTTAGCCAATAGATGATGCTATACCATGTAGAGACCAGAGATATGGAAGTGAGGGGCGGGTGGTTAAGGAGAAGTGAAGTGTGAGACGTTAGACTGCTGCGTTCTGCTAGATTCCTTCAGAATATATAACAATACCAAGGCTGGTATCGACGATTATGATTCCGATATTCGGGCCCAACCCTGACAGTAAAATTTACCAAGTGGCGGGAGGGATGACCATTAAATTTGTGGCTCCTAATAATATAAACATATTTGTTCCAGCCATGATTACCAACCAGATTGTGGTCATTTCACCAAAATGGCCCTGACTCTCCGCAGGGCGTGAAGATCGAGGGATGTACACAGGTGTGTGGTAATAATCCAGCTTGCTTAGTGGCTGTTTTGCCTTCCTCCTGAAGATGATAACTCCTTCAGGAGCTGAGGACTCACCGGCTGAGAGGAGTAGGCAAACGGACGCCACACACGCAACATTTACTCCAAATTCCCGTCATTTTTTTTCCAGAATAAATGGATTTATCCTACATTAACATTTATTTAGCATTTATTGTTGTGCTCTGTTTAGAGGATGTTATAGGCCTTTGTAGCGATTATGTCTAAAAGGACAGTGCTTAATAAAGTCTTCTAAAACATTCATATGCCTATACAAAACAAACAATGGTGAAAAATATAGCAATTACTACAAGTGAAAGAGCGGATATCAGAATATTGTATTGTTTGTTAGGGTGTAGGGGATGAATGTGTTCAACATATTGACTATATTATGCTTTAAAACGATGAATGGTGGTAAGGTTTTCAAAATGTGTTGACCCAAACGTCATTAGTGATTGATTCACTGGATTATTAGTTTTGTAAATGATATATATTTTAATACTGTAACTTCTCAGTAAAACACTTTACTTGCAAAACATCCCTCATGAACTTTGGTGAACTTACGTAGAATGCTTAAATTCAAATAATATTTCATGCATGTTTCCAGAACCCTTGAATCACTTCTGCTTGGTGTTCAGCATCATTCTGGCCACTGTGTGGCAGCCATACCTCACACTGCATCGTAAAAGTCAAATCTATTTTCAGAAAGCCTTGCAAGACGTGTGGGCACGCTGTGTTTGCGTGCACGCATGACACATTTCACACGTTTATGTAAAGATTTGCTGTCGCCAAAGGCTATAAAACTTACACGTTCCGGTATATAGGCGCGACAGTTTGGACGTACTGTTCCCGGTGATTTACACGTTTTTTACAACTTCGCATCGAAAGCTGTTTTAACAGCGAAAGCTCTGCCAAAGATGATAGGGTGAGAAAACATTGAATATCAGAGCGATTATAGTTTCAGATCATTTGAATATTTTCAGTCAACTTGTAACTAATAACTCTAATAACTTAGAAGCTTATTTCGGGATGCAGAGCAACATAAATGTAACTTTGTGGTCCTGCTAAACTCCTAAACTGTTTATTTCACATTTTTGAAGGGCTGGCAGCCCATATTATATGAACAAATAAAACACGGCGGGATTCTGGGATATTTTACTCCACAGAAGCACAGGGTACCAGTGACCAAACATGCGGGACATTTTTACATTTTCCCTCTAGCTGTATACCATGTTCTCCTTACTTCAGGTACATCTTCCCAAAAAGGGCAGGTTATCGGCGGTTGATAATTCGGCGCCCCCCCCCCCCCTCCCCCTCAAGGTGGCGCCCTAAGCGGGTTGACCAAAAGTGATAAAGAAGTTATCAGAGGCATTGGAAAAGCAATAGTCCGCTTCTTTTTTCGGTGCTTAATCGCAGTCCTCATCACATTAAACACTGAGTATTATTTATTGAAACATTTAAAGAAAAATATCAATAATAAAGGTAATTGCGTTAATAGTTATTATTAGATTTCAGGTATCTTGGTGGTATAGGAAAGGGCAAGAGACTGCCATTTTGGTTTACATTGTTCCCCCATGAAGGATTTTCTGCTGGCCCTGCTCTCTTCCCTAAATATCAAGCGAGCGATGGCCTCAGTGTGTGCAGCCCTGGTAGATGCCAGACTACCGAGTTTGTGCAGTGGACACTGTAGGTCACAATGTTATCTCAGTAACGCAAAGTGTTCTGTGATCCCACAGAAACTGCCATAGCTCACTGAACCTGCCCTGGAACTTTCACTAATTACCCTCATGTTTTCATCTGCATAACTACCATTGGGGCGTGATGATGTTTAGGTTCCATATCATTACAGCAACTTCTACATCCAAATATATTGGTTTACTGAATCATTTGAAGAAAAGCACATCTTCTAACTGGGTCCAGATTACTATTTGCTCATAGTAAAAATGATTAGTCACTATTACATTTGTTTAGACACACTAGGAATAAACAATCAAGACTGCAGATAATGCAGACATTTTTGAAATGGTCTGAAACTTTTGGTGTTTGGTTTGTATGTCACAAAGAGCACATCATATTTTGACCAGATTTGGGTCAGATTCTTGTTGTTCAGCAGAAGAATGTGTTTTCCCTGGCCGTAATCCATAAAAAAGAGGGTTATCACCAGCAAATTTAAATGAATTTGACTAGAAAGTCTTTGTTTATATCTCCATATCTGAGCCTATAGGAATAATTG